TATTTAACAATAGTTTGAAATATAATAGAATGTGTATATCATTCAAGAACTGTCTTTTTTCAGAAGATGGATCCTGAAAAAAAATTAAAATTTATATTAAAAAAGGGAATGATATATTTCTACAAATGAATATAATTGAATATTGTTAAAATGAAATACTTACAAATACTAAGCATTCGATTTGATAATCTTGCTTGAAGGTGCGAACACTCTTCACACCAATCCACTTTTAGTACAAAAGTCAAAATTAATGATTTAATTAACTCTGTTGAATTTTGTGGAGTGCGTACTATAAATGAAAATACACAATCTTTGCATGAATTAATTTGTTGGTTGAACAACCTATCACCACTTTCCTGATAATTAAGAACGTACGAAATTAGTGTATTTTTTTTATATAGTTTATAAATAGTACTATAAAAAATAAATATATATTAAGAAATTCTATTTTTCTTTGTAATTCTTTGAGATAAAAAGTATCACAACCAAATATAAATCGTGCATGTCTGTCTTGTAGATTAAAATGCATGTTACCATTGAAATCTCTGATTTGTATGTTAACATTGTAACTGTTTGACAAATAAAATATTATATGCAATACGGAAAAATATATTGAAATTAAATATACATGAAATTAATTACCTAATAATAGTGTTAACCGCGTCATTACAATGCATAGACATTGTTTTTGAAAAATGACCTTCATATAGTTGTCCACAATTTTTGTATAGCTCATAGAACATATTTTCTATGTTAATGCTCTGAATGTAAGCAAGTATTCGAAAATATTTAACCTAATAAGAATGAAAAAAGATATAGGTTATAATTATAAATTTAAAAAATTCTTTTAGAAATTAATTAAAATTGAGTAAGCTTACCGTAGGCATGATTGTATATTCAGATATCCATATTCTCTTTGAATTTGCTATCAACAGTGCTTGTGATGTTGTGAAATTGCTTGATCTCAACCATGTAATTAACTTGTGGGCACATGTATTATTTTCAAACATGCAATTTTTTTGAAATAAATGTCAATAAGAGTACGAAACAGTATTAATAGTTTGATATAGTGTTAATGAGGAACTCACTAACTGCGCAGGTATCGAGTAAAATCTAAATTGTGATTAATATACAATTTGCTAGCTCCAATTGTACACAGTGATGGACTTGCATAGTATGGTTATGCTCACTCAAAAGCTATTCAAAATATATAAAATATAAGTAAAAGTAATTGATTTACCTCTGAAATTTCGTACGCAAATACCACATGCTAGTAAAATATTATTTTTTGTAGCAGACTGATATAACCGTTCATCATCATCATTAGCAAATTTATCCCACAATATGAATCGAGCTACTGTCAAACTGTGTTAACAAAATTTTGATAAGTGCAAACGTGGGGGGAAACGTGGGATGATGATTAGAAGATTTGTAGGAGTGGTTGTAGAATGAGTTAAGAGATAGTGAGTATATTTTAAATTTAAATTTGATTGGTGATAAGGTGGGTTATAACTAAAGGTGTCAAAATGGGTGACTTGGGCGGGTTTGGGTTGGGTAAAATGGGTAATGGGTATAAGTGAGTCAACTCATTTATACCCATTTAATTAGATGGGTATAAATGGGTAAGTCAAAAAATGAATTGGGTAACCCAATTACCCATTTATAACTCATTTATTTCAACTTTTTGCAAACTCATTTAAATTCATTTTTGCAAACTAAGTTATCAATTTATACCACTCTTTGTACCCATCATTAGTTTTAAATATTTACTTATAATGTTCAATAAACTTAATTACCAATTTTTTTCATTTATACTCTATGTCACAAAATTACCTATTATTTAATAATTGAATAATACGAATATAAAAATTTGAATTAAGTACTATAAAAATTAATATAAAAACTTAATCCAAAAATTTTGAACCCCTAACATTTTTTTCATATATAAATTTAAAATTTCATTTTATAAAGATAAGAAAATAGGTTAAAATTTATCATAAATTGGGAATGCTAAAAAATAAGCAAGTTAACAAACTAAGAAAAAAAAATAAGATAAAACCAACAAATAATAATAATAATAATAATGTTAACATCATGACAAAATGAAAAATTTGAAAAAAAAAAGGTAGGGGAAAAGAAGAGACCTGGAGAGAAGAGAATTTTAAATGGGTTAATTGGGTTTGATGGGTTACCCAATAATACCCAATATACCCATATACAAAAATTTAAGATACCCATACCCATCTATTCATGGGCGGGTATGGGTAAATCTAGTTAAGTGGGTTGATTTGCACCTCTAATTATAACCCACTACTTTTTATGTATTAAAATAAATATAAAAATTTAGAAAAAAAAATGACAAGTTTATAAGGCATTGAGAAGGTATGTGCTAAAAATCCCTTCTTGAATACATATAGATATAGATTTTCTAAAAACTCTCCCAATCACTTGAGAATGATCTAGCCAAATCAGGAAGGTCCTGATAGCTATCCAATTAGGAAATTGATTTGGATTTGGAGATTGCCCAGTATCAATCCTGATTTTTTGGCCTTGAATATAGGTCCCGAACGTACCACAATCAAATTAACTGGAAAATTGTCTCTTTTAATCAAGTTTTGCTCCTTTTCCCACAATTAACACCATTAACCAAATATAAGTAGAATCCGACAATTAAAATAATATTTGGCTAAAATCAAGGGAAGAATAATTATAAATTTAGCAACAATTATGACCTATCAATGACATACATTTACATATTGTTGGTGTGAAAAAAAATAATAATTACACTGACAATGGATAAAAACTTAATCCTTATCCATTTAGGAAACTACTTGTTTTATTTTTATTCAATTATGGTTCCCGATTACGTAACTAATCCTTACAGGATTCTATCATTCAATGGCCCTTTCTTGGTTCATTGATACAAGTGTGAAGACATTCTGATGGTTAATAAATAAAAAGCCTCCGAAGTTTCGTCCTCTGCTTCCCGTCTTTTTCAGTTACGTTTCTGGCCTCGGGCTGTCACTCGTCCTTTTCTTGTTTTCAACAGCAAGCCTCGTGGCTTGTTTCTGTGTCCATTGTTTGTGATATACATTTGATTAACTATTATTATTATTTTGAGGGCCTGCACTTAAAGTCAATGGTTTGCATGCCCGTGGAATAAGTGACTTAACTGGAATTAAATTCCATGGCGCCGCCAGCAAGGAAACAATTCATTCATGGATCTGAATCACCGACGACGTAATTTAAGTGGTGACTCGATTGCTGATATTCAGAAGAAATGTTCTGTCATGGACTAGTGCAATGTTTGCAGTGGAACGTCACCGTTAGAATCAACTCTCATCCCTGCAATTAGCTTCGGCTGTTTACTAGTGAAATTTACGTCTTTGAAAGTTTCAAATTCAAACGCATTTTCTTGGAAATGTTCTCTAAATCGTTGGCAGCGTTGTATGGAGATGAAATTGCGAAATCAAGTGTAAATTTTATCAGAAATCCTTTGACTGATTATTCTCCAAAAAAAAGTCTACCTGATCACATGATATAGGTTTAGAGCACGTAACTAATAAGAGGTAAATCCCTATCACCGTTGTGATTGTTGAAGTACAAAAACATTCATTATTCGCAAGAGAGAAGGAACACATAGAAATTGCAAGTTTCTAAATCTCGTTTTAAGATGAGAAAGCAAGAGTCTTTAACAGGCAGTATCATTTTGCTTCCTCATTCTCCCTTAGCGTATGGTAAAAATGTTATTGAGTTTCAAATCAAAAAGTTCATTTCTACCATTATATATGGTAGGCTAGAAAATTCACAAACTCTGCTAATTAATGTAGCTATCGGAACAGAAGAACTAGAATTTTGCACGTATTTTAGCACGGTCTTTTTTTAAAAAAAAAAAAATTTGTTGTGAATTTATACAAATATGAAAAATAACAATCCTACATGTTCATTCATATTAACTTTAAAAAAATTAATGTATTCTAAATGTTCAATTATTTACTAACTTTTAAAAAATTTTGTTTACATACTTTGTCTATAATATGATAGTATACATCAAATAGTATATCCCATATAAAAAATTTGGTAGATATTTTTTTTTAAATATTCTTTTAGATAATATAAATTTTTATAATGACTATAAACCACTAATGAAAATAGTTACTTCCATAATTAATGTGGCTATCAGAACAGAAGAATTACTGCACGGGTGGTGCTATTTCCTGAATAAGAATTAAGGACCACCTGCACGCGCAAGTAAATTAGGGTGTTTGGCTAGGCCGTTAGAATAGTCTTCCCAATATGGTCGGAAGACCACAGATCATTATCCTCTGGCCAATTTTTCTTTGGGATGATTTGGTTCGTTAACCCTTAATTATGGGATGATTGAAATTCTCTCTAATCTTTCTTAATGAAATTGGGCTTTTAATAAACGTTGACCATGCCAAACAAGCTGTAACTGTTTCAATGCAGGCAGGCTCAGGGAAACAGCCTGAGCCCTTGAAATTTGAAAACAGCAAGTCTTGATAAAATCGTGTTTCGTGGGAAAATTATACACAAATATTCTGATTGTTCTAGTGGAGGCCTTTTTTGACCAAAAGAAGTTTTGTGAGTCTGTAGAACTTAAGACAAGTAGATCAGTGCCTTTAAAAAAAAAAATTTTCTGAGCCCTGGCATTGACGTGGGCGTCTCTATCTTTTTAGCAATAAGTAGAGAGAGTGCCAATAGAAAGCCAACAGTCAACTTTCAAGTTTCAATAAACTCCATTAAAAAACTTACAATCCTCTTTAGTCACTGTTTTCTTTTCTCAAAGCTAACATTCATCCGGAAAACTTGCGTGCATGGGTGGGATTTTGAACTTTTCTCGTAGAACAATTGGTCAAATCTTTCAGGTCAAATGTATACAGGAGGTTCAGTCATCAAAAGAAGATAACATTAATATATTCGTGCTAGATACTTCCGAAACACTATAAATACCCCAAGTTCGCCATCATCTTAGTACTCAAAAAGTTTCAAAAGGGTTTTCATCGCCTTCTCAGTATCTCTGTCATTATATATCTAGCTAAAGGCTGTATTTTACGACTTTAACTCTTCATCTTTAGCTCTCATATAGTTGAGTACCTGCCTTTTGATTGTATTTAACCTTACAATCTGTCATGGAGAGCTACAGATCATTTCTACAGCCACCAACCTATGGAAATAGCATCACCATCTTAAGCATTGATGGCGGAGGGATCAGAGGAATTATCCCTGGAGTAATCCTTGGATTTTTAGAGTCTGAGCTTCAGGTATGCCAAGCATCAATTTTCTTTTCCAATCATTCATGAAGAGAATAAATAAACCCGATTTGTGACTTTCGCATGCATGCGTTAAATTGCATAGACTGCTCTTATTTGGCGTAATAATATTCATGTGATATATGTCTTTGGTGCAGAAATTGGATGGTGAAGATGCGAGACTCGCTGACTACTTTGATGTGATATCGGGCACCAGCACTGGTGGTCTTGTGACTGCAATGCTTGCCGCTCCAAATGACAAGAATCGGCCTCTCTTTGCTGCCAAAGAGATCAAGGACTTTTACCTTGACAATTGCCCTCAAATCTTCCCGCAAGAAACGTAATCACCCTGACTATATACCATCTTCATTGTCCCAATTAAGTTACTATGTACTAGTACTATATCGACCCGCTAGTGCCAATTAACTAACATGATTCATGTTCATGACCAGACACTTAATGCTGGGACAAGCTGAAAAGCTAGTTAAAGCCGTGACTGGACCCAAATATGATGGCAAATATCTCCATAATCTGCTCAAGCAAAAGCTGGGTGAGACCAAGTTACACCAAACACTGACTAATGTTGTCATCCCTACTTTCGACATCAAATTGCTCCAGCCCACCATCTTTTCCAGCTATGCAGTTCGTCTCGATCAAACCCTTTCATTTTTTTATCATTGTATTACATGTTCCTCTTTATTTTTCCTTCTAAAAGAAACTCATATTCCGATGTTTTGCACGGCTCAGTTGAAGCACCATCCAAGCCTAGACGCCTTATTGAGAGATATATGCATAGGAACTTCAGCTGCTCCTACTTATCTTCCTGCCCATAAATTCGAAACTGAAGATTCTGATGGTAGCGTCAAAGAATTTAACCTTATCGATGGTGGCGTGGCTGCTAACAATCCGGTATAATTTCTCATCTTTATCGTGTTACTTTGAGAAACTTGGATTGTGCATATTTTAGCAAAAAAAAAAAAATCATTTTTTCTCACGATTAAGGTAAATATGAAATAATATTTCAGGCTTTAGTTGCAATGAACCATGTGACTAAGGAGGTTAGCCAAGGAAATTCCGACTTCTTCTCGATTAGATCGCAGGAATATAGTCGCTTCCTTGTTCTATCCTTGGGAACTGGTACAGCGAAAGAGGAAGGAAAGTATGATGCAGAGCAAGCAGCGAAATGGGGAATTCTGGGTTGGCTCACAAGTGGTGGTTCAACTCCGCTAGTGGATGTATTCTCTCAAGCAAGTAGCGATATGGTTGACTTTCACCTTTCTACTGTTTTTCAAACACTTCAGTCTGAAGAAAATTATTTACGAATTCAGGTACCTACATTCCTTTCTCTCTCTCTCTTTTGGTTTTCTTTTTCTGCTAACGTATATTAAGATTAGAAAACCTTTTGCTGCTAGTTTTCAGTCTTCTTCTATTGTTTAATGACTTTTCTTGTCCATCACGGATGCAGGATGACACATTAACAGGAGACTTGGCTTCCGTGGATGTTGCAACGGAGGAAAATCTACAGAATCTTGTCAAAGTTGGGGAGAATTTGTTGAAGAAGCCAGTTTCGAGGATTAATTTGGAGACTGGTGTTTTTGAGCCTCTAAATAAAGGCACAAATGAGGAGGCTCTCAAAAGGTAGAAGCCAACTGAAGCCCATTTTCTTTTACTTAGAAGTATATATTTTTTCGAAGTAAATGCTCTCACCATTCCATTTAGATAGTTGAAATATTTAAGAATGAACTGATCAAAGAAGAGCGGCACCCACAAATATTCGGTCATAAAAATTGAAAATACTTCATTGTTTAAAACTTTCCTGACAAATTACATTTTTCTTATGTAAATTGGAAGAGACGAGAAAATCCCACTTGTTCTTAACGTCACCTATCTTAATTACCAGCTCTTAGTCGCTAGATTTCTTGAGTTTTACCTAAACATGCTTACAAGTTTAATCTTTGCACAGGCTGGCTGAGACGCTCTCCAAGGAGAAGCGGCTTCGCGATCTGAGATCACCTACTTCGCATGTGCCAAAGAGCCAGAAATGATCCTAATCAGTCCTCAACAATCTATTTAGGGCTCAACAATTCAACTGAAGTTTTTGTTGTTTGAAGATTTTAATTATTTGTATGAATACAAGTGTATAAAATTCCCCCGCTCATGCATGCACGCACGCACGCACGTGGTGGGGAAGGGATTGTAATTCTTTGCAGTAATGCTTTTGAATGGAATCAATTCATTTATTCGTTTCTAAAACTCTTCTACACGAACTTTCCTTTGTTGATTACTTCAGCAGTTTCTATTGATCGCAAAAATTTCCAGGGTGAACGTCCTTTTTCTTCGATGCGAACAAGATCCAAAACTACGGGGCATGGCCCATTGCCATTGGTTAAGTATTATGCCCCTTTCATAACTCACAGTTTTTTGTATGAGTGTTTCGATAAATGGACTCTCCGAAGACACTTCAAAAGCCGGTGAGCTTTGCAAATATCTAGAGCAAGAAGTACAGAACGTGCAGTACTACTGTACTAGATGGAGAAAAGGCACAGAGCCGCACAAACTTGCATTCATAAATCATAATGATTGGAAAGACGGCCTTTGTACGGGCCGAGGATTGGAATTGCACAAACTCGCATTCATATATCATAATGTTTGTTAGGCCTGTTTCGTAATCTAATTCCATACTAAAATTTAATAGATTTAATACTTAAATTTAATATATTCATATCTTAACGTATTGAGATATGTTTAATAATAAACAATTGAACTCTTAAATTAATTAAGTAGCAGTAAATTTTTTAGATAAAAATTGCTTTCAAAAAATAAGTAATTAACTTTTTACTTATTATTTAGGGCTAATTACATTTACCTCCCCTGAGGTTTGACTAAATAACGAATCGATCCCTGAGATTTGACCAAATAACAAAAAGGTCCCTCAACCGTTAGTTTTTGCCGTTGACTGTTAGGGTTAATTACATTTACTCCCTTGAGATTTGACCAAATAACGAATTGATCCCTAAAATTTGACCAAATAACAGATTCCTCCCCCACACTAACTTCTGTCACTTATATGTAACGGAAATAGCCAAAAATCTAAATAACCCTTATTGATTTCCATCAAATTTTTAAGGATTAATTACATCTATCTCCCTTGTGGTTTGACCAAACTACTTTTAAATCCCTGTGGTGTGGTAATATTACATGTACCTCCTTTTTAAGTAATCTCGTCAAAGACACTTAAATAGAAGTAGTAAAATATCATATTTACCCTCTTTGTAAAACTTGTAGTTAGAGAAAACTTACCGTTAAAAAATCGAAGGTGGTTTCAATAATAACGAATTAAACTAAGAGTTTATTACTTAAATAAAACAGTTTTTAACCAGTATAAAAGAAAAAAACCAAGCATGTAATAATCAAACTTGATAAAATATGCGCATAACAAAAGAAAAAAATGAAGAAAGAAGAAAAGCTTAGAAAACAAAAAAGAAATTAAAATGTGAAAAGCAAAGACTGGAATGGAAAAAAAAATAGAGTGAAAAAAGGAAACCGACAATTGAGCGATGAAAGAAAATTTATAGAAGCAATGTAAAGGTTCACTCAATCCACCACAAAAATGAGACGGACATGATTTTAAAAAATGAGACCATTACCAGATTCTCAAATATCCTTTGACTACTTAATCGGCCATGACAAAGTGTTTTGTGTAGAAAAGCCTTCTGCTAGTTTGGTTTTACAATGGGTTACTAATAAATAGAGTAAAATGTCAATAGAAATCTGATACTTCATTTATATAATATAGGAAAAGTATAAGGAGCTGGTACATTATGGAAAGAAAAAATACGTACTATATTTTCAACCCTCTTAGTCGCTAGAAATTTTAATTTTACTTTATCTTTTAAATAAATTATTTTTTGAAAAAATAGGTACTTTGTTCATATAATTGGGAAAAGTCGTAAAGCACTGATATTTTATGGGATAATGGGTATTACCCCATGTAATCCAAAATTTGTCACACTATTTCACCAAATTACAAAATACGTGTATGGCAAATTTTGCATTACAAGGTCTATCAAAATTTACTCTGATTTTATCTGTTAAACAAATTAATAATTTGTTGGATTCAAAATTTTATCTGTTAACCAAAATTTTTTTCTGAAAACACAAAAATCGATAGGTCAAAAATTTGATGGAAATCAATAAGGGTTATTCAGACTTTTGGTTATTTCCGTTACATATAAGTGACAGAAGTTAGTGTGGGGGAGGAATATGTTATTTGGTCAAATTTTAGGGATCGATTCATTATTTGGTCAAATCTCAGGGGGTAAATGTAATTAACCCTAACAGTCAACGGCAAAGACTAACGGTTGAGGGACCTTTTTGTTATTTGGTCAAATCTCAGGGATCGATTCGTTATTTGGTCAAACCTCAGGGGAGGTAAATGCAATTAATCCTATTATTTAATGTGATATACACTCAAATATATCAGATTTAGTGTTTAAAAATTCAATAACTTAATATATTCAAATTTCATTTTTAGCAAATGCAACTTAGATCTTTGAATTCTTGATTCATGAGTGCACTAAGGTTCAGAGATTTGAACCTTTAACTTGCAATCACACCTATACTTTATGCTTCACTTAGTAACCAACTCACCTAAGGGGAATTGGTTGTAGGCTTCCTTTTTATGGACACTATCAGATGGTACCAATATGCTAGACGAATCCGACTTTTTCTAAATCTTCACGCATCACAAAATTTACAAGTTCATTCAATTGGTAATGACAGGTTGTTTCCTCACAAAATGTCATGTATTCGAATTTCCATTACCGACATTAGAGTTGTATTAGTGGGGGGCGGCAGTCAGACCCAAGAATGTAGTGGCTACGGATTGCAACAATGTCTCTAGCCTAATCTCAGCAAGAGGCTCGATCCGTCTGAATTATCTACAGTTAAAGATGCATGATCCTTGCATTTCTTCCATTTTGTCATGTTTACAAATTTTTTTTTGGGTGTTTCCCCCAGCTTTCATTTTACTTTTTGCTTATTCAAATGCATTTGATGCTAGGATGTTGTAGTCGCAAGTGCATCAGGAGTGACTAAAGATTTTTGTACATGGTGATGCGAGAGCTCGTACCGTTAATGATCGAGAACCATCGTGTAATATAAGGTGAAAAAGGTTAATGGACCAGCGCACCATTCATGGCGCTTGCAAGGTAGGGCGAACCATAGCAAATGGCCATACACCCTTGTGAATAATAGCACTGTTAGGGGGTAACGTCTCGAGAGAGTCCACCAAAGAGTCCAATATGTAAGTCAGGAACCTAACTCATGAATCTAACAAATCTCCTCGTTCATGAGTCAATGTGGGACACAATCCTTTACTTATGAACCTAACAAATCTCCCTGTTCATGAGTAATCCCCACATTAAACCCAAATTTACAAGTTATTTTTCGACCCCACTTTAATACTCAATGCAAGCCCACATTTATTACCAAAGTCATCTCTTCTCCCAAACATGGACTCACTCTTCTTCAACATCCAAACTGCATTCTGGACCCCTACCAACCCTTAGCTCCTTGATTTGACATCAACTGGACCCCCTGCCAAACTCATGGCACACCTGGTCCAACACCAACCAAACTTCTTGACATTTCAGTCGACCATCAAGAAGAGAATTTTTATCGGTCCAACTCCGAAAAGAATCCACTTGCCCATGAGTAACCCAGTCTCACAACCTGAAACTCTGATACCAATTTGTTAGGGAAAAACATCTCGAGAGAGTCCACCAAAGAGCCCAATATGTAAGTCAGGAATCCAACTCTGATCCAAAAACTTAAGCTTTTAGGTCTTGGACCCTTATTTACATATTAATCGCTTTTTCTCTATCTCTCGTATGTATCGATGCATGTATAATTGTATATATGCATGGACGATTATATCATGCTTCATTTTATTTTATGGATACATTTTTCCACACATGTAAAACCTGACGCCCTAGTGTAACTGCAGCACAAATCATTGACATTTCAGAATTACTAGTTGGGACGGCCTGTGCGTTGCGCAGGAGGGCGAATATTTCCCGTGTTAAGTTGCACAATTTTTAGTTATTGTATATTTGTTGTAGTGTAGAGAATTATATAGGTGGTATAAGTTTGGCTTGAATTAGTTCAAATAATATAGTGTTGATATTTTGTATGATATGATTAGTATAGATTATGTGGTGTGGGTTAAGTAGTTGAACTCACTAAGTTCCATAAATATGGGCCTATTTCCTTTTTTTTTTTGCACAAATTAAAACATTTAATCAATATAATCACAAGAATTATTTTTCTTTCATATTTTTGTATAATGTCGCTCACTAATATTAGATCATTAATCCACATTAAGAGCCATGTATTATACATTGTTTTTGAAATTTACAAACTTTAATTTTTTTAATGTAAGAAACAATGTAATTAATGTTACATGTTTGACTAAAAGAATAATGAAAAAATAGCATACAACATTGCTTTTCAATTTAGAGTAATTTAGAGCCATTAGGAAAAATGAATATGTACACATTAAATTTAGAGCCATTAGGAAACATTTTATAATAATTATATATATACATTAAATATGGATATTTATCTAACAATATAAAAGTGAGAGTTGCCCCATGAACAATATTTTTTTGTCAAGCGGTTATCCTACAATTGTTATTGGATGCCCGAGCTATTAGTAAATAACATACTAATTATTCTTTTTTATAGAACAAAAAATAAGAATAAAAACAAGGGCATTAAAAATTTGTAATAATTATATAGAGTAATATGGATATATAGACTAATACATTTTTATAATTGTATGTTTTAAAAAGTAGTAGGATTAAAAATCATTTTTAGTCCATGACACCTTAACCGATTTTGGTTAATTGTGATAACAATGTTGGACATCTTTTCTTTTTTTCTTTTTTTTTTTTACTGCTGTTCAACTTTTGGGAATCATTCAGTCAGAAGCTACTGCTGAACATGCTAAACAATTACTACATTCAACAATTTTACAGAGCACTATTTTATTTCATTTTTTTTGCAATATATGCATTCATTTTTTTCCAAATAATTTTATTTCATGTCGTAGTAATAAAATCCATTTTTTAAAGTCACTAAAGCCAATAATAATTTATTCATTATTTCCTCAATAATTGTGTATTTACAGAACACTCAATATTATTTAGATTGTTTCTTACATTAAAAAAATTAAAGTACTGTAAATTTCA